CCCACTGCAGCCTCCCTGAGACCTGTGCTCTCTCAATAAGCCTCTACTCCTACAGCCTCCCACCACAGGGCCTTCATACACACTGACCCTTTTGCTGACCTTCACTCAGGTTCCCCCATTAGGTCTAAATGACATCCAGCACCTCTTACTTTCTCCAGCCTGGAACAGGACCTGGCTCCCCACTTCCCAGTCAGTGTTGGGGAGGGAAGTTACTGTGGCCCCCCCAAGCAGCCACAGAAGAGGTGGGACTGTGTCCATACCAGTCCTGAAGCCCCCCAGGCCCTGCAGAGTGGTTGGGATAAGCATGGCCCCATTGTGTACAGTGGACACACGAAGTCCGGTCTCCCGTCCACCAGACATGGATTTTCTCATCTCCCCTCCCCACCTTCACCCCAGGGCCAGTATCCTGAATGTTATCTCAGGAGCGGGCCCAGGCCCTGGGGGGCTCGGCCCCTCCTCTGAAATAATCCTTCCGCCTCAGCCCTGTAATTACAGCTTTGGGGTCCAGCGAGGATCAGCTGACCTGGGTGTTTCTTATTTCAGTGATAAGGGCCCCCCCAGGCCTGGCTGGAAGGCAGCCTCCCGGGGGTGGGGGTGGAGGAAGCTGGAGCTACTATGTTTCCAGGTGGGTTCCCCAATATCAGCTGTCTCCCAAACAAGCCTGGAGTGCTGCCCATGGGCTTGTGGGCAGAGGGGAGTGGGAAGTGTCGCCCCAGAGAGAGCAGACTCCCCTTCTCCCTGTTCCCTTCTTTCCACGGCTGGGGGCTTCTCAGCACTGCCTACAACAACCGCCTATGTGGTTAGTGCCCTAGAGTTGGTTGGGCCTTGTAGCGACCCTGTATACGGTTTCTGAGGAGCGGCTGGTGGTTTTGAACCGGCATCCTTTTGGTTAGCAGTCCAGTGTTTATCCTACAGTGCCACATCAAGGCAGCAACGCCTGGTGATAGTTGCTTATGTGCCGTGAAGTTGGTTCCGACTCAGTGTTCCGAGGCTGGTAGTTTTGAACTGCTGACCCTGAGGTTAGCAGCCTGATTCGTAACCACTACACTACCAGAGCCAAGCCTATGAGGCGGGTCCCACAGATCTCAGCGCTGAGCGGCCAAGCAGGGTCACACGTAACAAGGACGCAAAGACCCTGGGGGGGCGCTGTGGGTTAATGCGCCAGACTGCAAAGCTGTTTGAACTTGCAAGGGCGGCGGTTCAAGCTCACCAGCTGCTCCTAGGAAACGCTATACAGGAACCGACTCGACAGCACTTAACAACAATGGGTCAGAACCGACTGGATAGCACTAACAACAACAACAAAGGCCCTGCGGGGTGAGGAAAAGTGAGGCACGGGGAGGGTGCTGGGACCTCTGGAACCCTGCGCAGCTCCTCGCGGCCAGCGAGTAACTCTGGGTAGTTGGCGCCACCTTGTGTCCAAACTCGGAACCACATGCCGGGCACAAGTGAGGCTCCTGGCTGGAGTCGGTGCAGAAAACACCAACAGGTTCGCGTGTGAGTTTTTCGTTGGATCAGAAATCTATTTCATCACAAAAAACTGGTTCTCAAAATGGGTCCTGGGCCGGCAGCCTAAGCCTTCCGGGGAACATGTGAGAAATTCATCAGAAAACGGGGCCCCGTGGGATTCCGTTGCGTGCTGGGTTGAGAATCATTGCCATTGCGTATAAACCATCTCACACAGTTTTACTCAGAACTAAATTACACAGGTGGCAAAACTCACGCCAACCCCATCAACACAAAAGTAAGTTTCCATCAATTTACTGAAACTTTAG